CCTGCCGAAAAAAATGATCGAAAAAAGCGAGGAAAAATAAAGATTGTTAACCATGTACCTTCTCAAATCGTCGCTGAGCTACTCCTTGCTGTTGAGCAGTAGTAGATGAGGACTTGGTGTACTGTTGGGCTCGGGGATCGATCGACTGCTGGAAGGGCTGCTGTGGGACGTCCACACGTTGTTGTGGGAATTGTGGCTGACCCTGTTGCTGTGGGAACTGTGGCTGACCCTGTTGTTGCTGTTGTGGGAACTGTGGTTGACCCTGTTGCTGTTGTTGTGGGAACTGCTGTTGTTGGAAGCCCTGCTGTTGTTGCTGAGGGAATTGTTGATGTTGCTGCAGGAGCTGATGCTGATGGAAGGGATGTTGCGGCTGTTGTCCCTGAGGAAGCTGCTGCTGTTGCTGTTGAGGTCCCTGCTGTGCCTCGAGGAACAGCTGATGTTGAGGGAACTGTTGCTGCTGGCCTTGCTGAACCTGCTGCTGCTGGTTTTGGTTCTGACCCTGCTGAGCGAAAGGAGGTGGATACTGTGCTGGTGCGACCTGTTGCTGTGGAACGTACTGTCCTCCATACTGCTGCTGTTGCTGCTGTTCTTGCGGCCGTGACTGATCTGGACCAAATTGCTGTTGTTGTTGGAATTGCTGCGGTTGTCCAAACTGTTGCTGCGGTGTCTGAGCTCCTGGCTGCACTTGGCCGTACTGCTGTTGTTGTGGCTGACCGCCGGCCGGCTGTAGAAGATGATGGTGTGGTGGGAAGAGAGGGTGATGAGGTTGCTCAACTTGTGCCTGAGTGGTCTGTTGATGTGGGAAGGTGAGCTGCTGCTGTGGTGGCGAGAGCACGGAAGGGCTCGGTGGAACCTGCGGTTGTTGAGCTCCAAATTGCTGCAGCTGCTGATGCTGATCTGGTTGAGTGGCCTGTCCTGGTTGAGGAGGCTGAGATATCGAAGGAGACACAGAGCCAAATGGAAGTGTAACTGCACTATATGGTGCAAATGTAGGATGTGTTGGGAAAGTGAATGGCGCGAAGGTGGGATGGGTAGGGAAAGTGAATGGAGCCATAGTAGGGTGTGTTGGCAGAATGAATGGTGGTGGTGGTGGAGTGGGGGGAGCACCAGGTAGAGTGAACGGTGCGATGGTGGGATGAGTTGGTAGGGTAAATGGAGCGTGAGTTGGCAGAGTGAATGGAGGGAAGGTGGGATGAGTTGGCAGGGTAAATGGGGCCGGTGTGGGTACGATCGGAGGTGGCGGTAGTGGCTGAACAGGAGGAGGCTGAACAGCAGCTGGTACTGTAGGCTGGACCTGGGGCAAATTCAACGCGGCCTTGTTGATCTTCTTTGTCTTCAATGGGTGGTGAACCTTTGGAGTGGTAACATCTTCAAGTTGAGAAAGTACTGCATAGTCCTCCGAGGGGAGCTCAGACGGTATGTCGAATATCGTCGATTGGAAAGTCGGACCCGGCTGAGCGGTAACATAACTAGAGAGTATAACAACAGCAACGACGACCACCGCACGGTGCACCATAGCTGGTCGAACGGAGGGATGAGCGCCGCCTGGATTCCGAGAGATGACCACACACCGCCCCACCGGGCGAAACCCGTTCCGAAGCGTAGCCTGTGTGTCGCCCCTCGGCCCCATCCACGCACTTTTGTCCCGCCTACGGTGGTCGTTCGCAAGCTCAGACAAAAACCTTTCGCATTTTCGGACGTCTTCTAAACTAGTAGTTGTACTTAGAGAAACTAGTCCCCGCCGCTCACAGCTCATTTAGAAAATCCATTAAAGGGGTGATGGAGAATATGAATGTTCCCCTGTTTTGCTGAAATGACACTGCTTCCAAAAATGGAGAGCATTAAGCCAAATTGGAACAGGTCTTTCTGGATCACCTAAACGTCACAAGATTATGCCCTCTTGGAGAGAGCAGTATGACATTTTATGGGCGAGGGAAAACCCTTGACAGGTCCAGGGACAGTTCACCTTCGGGAATAGGCAGGTGGCACCTGGGAATTGGTTGTGGCGATTAAGATAAACGCTCTGAATCAATTAGCACATGATTGGTTAGGTTTTCTTGAGTATTCCGATACTTTGGATGCGCCATGAACCCGTATTTTTCCAAATTTCCGACGAAAAAGTTGAATGAAATGTGCTGTGATAGACGAAAGCGTGACACGACGGCTAGTAAGCGGGAGGACTTGCTCCAAAGCGATGAGCGGACTTCTCTAGTCGATTAGAATAAGAATACAGAAAATAAAATGACGAATCCTAAAGCAAAGCTCTATAGACATGCCGTGGTGCCAAGATAACTGGGCGCATATCACTAAGATATGGGGCATTGCGGTGCTAATTCATTTGAACGCGTGAATATGCAAATTGAAAGTGTAGGGAGCCACCAGTTCAATAATCTCCTGTTTTCGAAGTCGGAACTAAGTCTCATTGTCAAGAGACGGCGGTGGAGGAGAGACGTCATGTTGCGTGTTTCCGTAGGCCTTTTTCTCTTCCAAGCTTCATTTTAACGTGGATTTCCTGCCCCCTCCCAGGTTGTCCTGGAGAATGCCGCTCGATCCGAGATAGCCGGCGATAACAGAAATGTTAGATATAACATTTATCTAGAAGCTGCTTACCATTTTTCCAGACTTTTGTCTGATGACCCTTCCTATGGCTAATGACCTTCTACGACTTAGCGTCTGTCACGCCGCCGAGGTATGCCTCGGAGTGGAAGCAGGGCCCTCCCACCGCCCCATCTGTGGTTAACATCAGATCAGGTACAGAATTGTGTTAAGTGCATGAGGTAGTGTTTGTTGTAGTCATTTCAATTCTCCGTGGCCAAAGAGATCGACTCCACCTTAGATCCACAAAACACTTCTGCAGTATCTAGTTGGTGCGCTAGCTCGAAAGGTTGCCAACGGGGTTATGACCGATGAAGAAGCCCGATTCTGATCCGGCTAGTCGCAGCACGACCATTATGGAGGATTAGAGAAAAAAGCTCGACGTTGATTTTTAACCCTTTTTAGAATGCGATCGCACTCGATCTCCATTCATAACCGCAGATTCATTCATACGAGACGGATCGTGACTCACGGGAGCATCTGAACTAGTGTCAGAGTTTTTAACGTCTTCGACGAGTAGCTGTAAATCAACAGATACCGGAGAAGTACAAATCTGGTCCGCTGGGAGCGCTCAGTCCTGGATCCATCCACAGACTTTGTTCGTAGTAGGGGTCTCACCTGTTACTGCCCCTTCTTCGCCGTTTTGACCAGAACGACTGCAATCAGGCTGAATGCAAGCCAAACGTTAGAGGAAATTTCTCAAGCTTAAGTCTGCTAGGCCGATGTCAGACTTTGCGAATCGCGCGATTCGCTAGCGTCTGCGGTCGCGTCGCGGCCAGTGAATCACTCAATTGGCTGGTACCGCAACGCGACCGCGGACGCTAGCGAATCGCGCGATTCGCAAAGTCTGACATCGGCTCTAGGTAGTTCTCGATAAGGTCCCCGTAGCACCATACACCAAAAGGAATATGCTTACTCTTATTCTACCCATTTTACAAAAGGTTTCCGAAGTTTTCATCAAAAATGTCAACGGGAAATCTCGAACCGAAGCTCTATTTCACCATCACTAAAATCCTTCGTTGATAAGATACCATGGACGTTACCTCATTGGGCCAGAAGCGCCAAGGTTGGCTCATGAGTGAAAGCTGTGTTGGAAGGGCACCATGAGCCTCAAGTAACCGCATCTACTCGGCTCCACCCGTGACTCCTCACTGGGAATGTCTGCGTCTCATCGGTCCTAATGCTCTCTCACCCACTCGTCGTCCGGTCTCTCCTCCCACTACGCAGTCTTTCCTTGTTTTACCCTCGTGCAATGCTCATAAAAGACAGCTAAAGGGACAAACTTGGAATGCCTTCACCAATGTAAATTATCTTTTTGTTTGATGATAGGCCGCTTAGCATGTGCATTTCCAATCTTGAATCTTAACACCGGCGTTCTGCATTCGTGGATTGTATCTTAAAGCGATTCCCGACGATATATACGAAGGCCGTAAGAAATCGTCCCGGGGTCTGTTCCAGTTTGGCGGACGCGAATCGAAAGCCCAGGCTTATCGCTTGGCCAAGCGTGTCAAGTCTGCAGTGACGCAGTAAGCATGTCGCTAAATCCGGTCGGACGTGTTTCAGAGGGGATCAAGTGAGTGTTGCGGTTTGGTCAAAGTCAAGAAGTTCAGTGAAAGAGACCAGTTTTGCTGAAGCTGGCTCTCACAATGGTGCGGCTAACACCGCTTTTGGATCCTCATATGTTCGAATAGTTTGAAACTTCGTCTAGCGGAGAGAAGATAATGAGCTAGTTCGAATGTGAATGCGGCGAAACCTTCACCGCGGCTAGAAATAGCCACAATTGGTAGGCCAAAACGTTCAAGGGCACCGTGGAGAATTTGTACGAGATAATTAAAGTGGAAGTTTCTATTAACGTGAATAAAAGGGGAGTCATCAGAGTTTGCTTCAGCTAGCGGGGG